AGTCATGCTTTGCCATGCTGTTCTCCAAGGGCTCCATGATGCAGGAACCTTTAAATCATCAATTTGTGTGGATTCATCTCAATACATGTGCAGATCTCGGTGTTCAATTACAAATCACCTTCACACGAGCTCCAGATGAAGGACATGGTGCTTGTGCTGCATGTTCCAGGAATAAACAAGTAAGGATTGTCTGCCACTGGACTCTTGAGACCATGGCTTCTGATGTCATATTTAGGTATACCTTTCTGTTGGCTTTGAATAAGAAAACTCTGCCCATCATTCTTGGAACAGCAAGAAATTGGGAAGTGTGGGTGAAGACAGAAAGGCTGGGAACCTCATGGGAATTTTGTAAGTTAAAGAGATAAGGGTTTGAGAAAGCAAAGTAAATGGTCAGTAGATCGTATGGACCCCATGACTGTTGTATGTTTGAGGAATGTAAACAGCCAGATAGGAGGCAGCGGGAGAGGGAGAGATTCACAGACAGACAGGAGACAGATGGCGATAAAGACAGAAAGACGGCAGAGGAATGAGAGGGAGATGATGGTTAAGTGGGACTTTCCTGAGCACTAATTAAATTAGCCTGCCACTGAACCCGTGCTGAATGCCGGCCAGGGGTTTGATGTGAGTTAACAAGCGCACAGAAGCTGTGAGCAGTGACTGGAACGGACAGGTTTGTTTTCCAAGAAGTAGGAGCGAGAGAGAGCAAGCAGGGGAAGGCAAGAAGGGTTAAATAATCTGCAATTATCTTTTTATTTCACTCCCACCCAATTTGAAATCTCTAATTGTAAAGACTTGGCTTTCCAGCAGGAATTCCTGTGCTCCACTGAGAAAGTGAGGACATGTTAACCTGTCAGAACCACACTGCAGGTACAACGTCACCGGGAAAAGGATTTAGCCTCTATTGAAAGAGTGGCACATCTCTCACTGACTTCATCACAAGCCTGCTGGCATCAGGAAAGTTGCAGGAGTCACTGATTTTGCCCCAAACGAAGAAATCACCCACCTTCCCATCTTCATTTGCAGCCACAGTCGGCTGGTGACATGACCTGTGTTTGCTCCAATGACTATTAAGTTTTTCTTCCCCCCCCCCCTCCCAAAACGTGTCTCTGTGAGCAGAGAGGAGCTGGAAAAGCTCAGCTGTGACTTCATGGTCCATGCCATCAGCCCGAAGGGTTTTCAGAGGTCAGGCTGCTCTGCCAATATTGTCTATGGAGTGGCTTTTTCCTAATTGTTGATGTCCAGGAAAGAAGTAAAGGATCACCATCTAGCCAGGCATCGGTGAATCTCCACAGCAATTGGAGATTGCTGGGAGAAAGGCCATCCTTAATAATGTGGGTGTCACGGCGTGGCGGGGCCATGTGAGATGAAGACCTGCTGGAAGGCCATGCCCCCCTTCCGCAAGGTGGGGAATGTGCTGAAGGAGAAGTTTGACGGGGACACCGAGGTGGAACAGCCCAAGATCAGTACCACCAAGCCTAGGAGCTGGTGCCCAAGATCTCGCAGCTCAAGCCCCACGTTGGCGAGGGCCTGGCCTACCTGGAGTCCAGCTCTGAGACCTGAAGAACAGGGTGCTGGGAACCGTCCAGCGGCGCTGCAACAAGACCTCCAGGGCCGTCGCCGGGTGCGAGCTGATATGCTGTGGCTGGGGCTTCCACACAGAGGACGTGGAGGACAGGCGAAGCTGGGAGTTCCACTGGTGCTGTTATGTCGAGTGTAAACAGTGTTGGAAACAGGTGGAGATGCACGCTTGCCGGTGACCGGGGTTTCAGCAGGCCATGAGCCAGACTGGGCAGGAGAAGACAAGCCGCAGAAAAAATATATGTCCATGGGGATATTTTCTATTTCAAAAGTTCCATAAAAAAAACACGTCTCTTTGGAAAATTTCCAAGACGACGATGGGAGAAAGGAAGCAGGACAAACAAGAATAAGAAGGTGAAGGTCTGCACATTGATCAAGAGCAAAAGCTTCAGAGATAGTGCATTGTGAATCATCTCAGAGAGCCATAGAGCAGGCAGGTAGAGTCTAGGTAGGAGTCAATTAGTTCCTTTGTGGGCACGTCATTGAACTGAACTCAACTTTCCTGATCAACTTAAGTAAACACCAATCTAGGTGAGTTAAAACCACCATCGTCACAAAACTAGAGTTGTACACTATTGGCACCTCTACAAATACACCTCCTGTCCAGCTTTCCTGCTGCAATCAAAATGCATTGTTCACATTTCCTCACCTGAAGGCTGCCTGACATGTTTGTGCTTCTCCCTTTTCTTTAAGTCTGTAAAATGTAACTTTCTCATGTTACAGTAGATGTTGCTGCCTTCATAATTTGTAGGCAAACACATCTATGATTCTTTGTTGAGCTCCCAAGCCACACCAGCCCTCCCCCATCTTCCTTCTTTGCAAGTGCAGCTATCCTGAACGAAAAATCAGTGAGTCCTGAAATGTAATTATCCCGAACTCATAAAACCCATTAAAAAAATGCTGCCATGTGCAGGGATTACTGGAGAAGCTTGACTGGAGACTTTAATTTGAGATTTATGCGAGCACTGGACTGTCAAGGACTAAAATTCTAATGGTCATAAAGGCCAGGATCTTGGGCTACCCAAAGAAGCATATTGACTGTCTGCCTAATTTTCTGCCCTCAGGCAGCAGATCAGTCTGCAAGCCCCACAGGAAGAGATGAGGAGCTTCAGTTTATCGCGGGAACATGATCACAACACTGCATTCCATCTCTGTACATGCCACCTGATAGTCACGCGCCCTGAGAAACATATGGCCCTACAATATTCACAGTGAAAATTAAAAGATGATTTCTTCATGTTTAGTTGTTGTTCAATAGAAATTGGTACCAAATATTAGTTTGTTATGCTAGAAAAAAAATGTTGAATTTCAGTGAAAACTGACACTGACACGAGGTGACAAGAAGGTTGAGGGCTATTGAACTTAGTCTTGGGTAGACTGTCAGATGACAACAAATTAAATCGCAGGCTTTAGACTGTATTCCTCCTTCAAATAAAACTTAATGAAAGTAATAGTTCAGGTGGGTAGCTGCGTCAGCATGCGTAGGCTGCAAAGGAACAAGTAATAGGTTTATTCCATGCTGAAAAAAAGAAAGAGAACACAACGTTTCGGCCGTGGAGCCTTCTTCAGGTGTGTTCATTACTTAATGAAAGTAATAGCTGCAGACTTAAAAATTGTAAAAGTAGCAAAGACATTCTGACTCCTAACGATTGCTATTCGTGAGAAGACCAGCCGTGCTGAAATTATAGAGTGACGGGTGTTACCACATCCCATCTTTCAACATCCGTGAGTAAAAACAAGGTGCTTCTGACATTCCTCAACTTTGAAAGCACTGAAAAGTCTATTTACCTTTAACTGCTGGACTTATAGTCTATGAAGGCATGAGGCTCGCATAAAGAACACGGACCCGTTTTCAGCTCTGAATATTGAATACCTCTTCCAAGTAACGCAGTCACACTGAAAAAATCTGAAAGGATGGCTTGTCAATGGCCACAAATAGTTTTAAATGTTTTGATATTGGAACTGGAAACCCTCCTCATTCTGTGGAAAGTCATGCTACACCTACTAAATTGCCGATATGTTCTCCAGCTTCTTAGTTATAAGTAACCAGTTCACCAACCAAGACTCATGGTCACTTAGATAGTTATTATAGCAGCACTCCTAATGGTTCACTCTACCAATGCAACCTGGATGTTTGATTTGGAGTGTAGGGAGAAAACAGGCACATCTGACAGGACAGAGTAATGAGCTGTGGATACCAATCTCCTCATAGGGGCAAGAGATCAAAACCTGGAAGACAATTTAATGCTGCCAAAAAAACAACACTGCTTGTCTTTTATAAATTGGGAATAACTTTTTGGTGAAACCTGAATCCCAACAATGATCTACTGCTCACCATAGACTCCTAAAGCAATATGATTCTTTTCCAGTTTCAACTGCTTCCTCTCAATATGACTATATACTTACCACTGCTGGACGTATACAAAGGCATGAAACATACTCCAGTAAAGAATTTGGTATCGCCAAATTTCAGACACCTCATCTTTCAACCTACTGTGAAAGAACACTGCCATCTACTGGAATGGATAAGCACTGCACAAAATAGCGTAATAGTAATTTCAGCCATGAACCACGAAAAACCTCCTCAAATAAAATGTAAGATTAAAAGCAGAAAATACTAGGTTGCAGAAACTAACATATTCAGGAAATAAACTTTAAAGGTTGAAAATGATAAATTGCTAAGAAAGTGATAAATTATTTATTCCAACTAAGTTCATAAAAGTGATTGTTTGATCAGTTAATTCTTCTCTAAATTCTAGACAAGAATGATACTATTCTGTAATCTTTTCTAGAATAGTGTCATTAAAAATTAAAATGTACATATGTAACAGGAAACCAAACTACAATGCTGAAATACAGGAACATACTGTATAGACACCAAGGTCATACTGGGTGTATTAAAATTTTTAATATCCGAAAGAGATTTTAAATGACATATTACAAAAAAGTAACACTAGTGGACAAGAAACATTTGTATTTAAATAATAGAACTGTACACTGTTTTAAAAGATAACTAAAAAAAATAAAAATAAAACATTGTAAGACACCAAACAAAACAAAGCAAAAAAAAGGTTTCTCAATAACTTCTACAATAAAATTAATAACATTAACAGTTCTAATATTAATAATAAAAGTCTGGTATAACAAAAAAGAAGCTGAAAAGATAAGGAGAAGATGGAGCCTAGCTAAGCAATGGAGCAAAACATCACAGTATGAGCAGGAGGGGTCAGAGGTCAGAGGTCAGCATAGTAAGGCAATAGAAGAGTCGCTCTGTCCCAGAAGGGCGTGAGAGGACAGACCGCTCCACGCCCCCTGCATCACGACTATACCAAGCATTTTAAAAAGTGCAAGCAGGAAAGGGTGCCAGCGGCATCTGCAAAGTCCTTTCAATTTAAAACAATGACATTTAAATTGATCTCTTGTAAGAAAATGCCATCAGCGAATTAAACATTATTTTTGCTTTAAATTTTGGTCTTTTCCTTGCTTCCTGAAATAGGAAGTTTTTAAGAGCTCCTCAAAGTCTTTCCTGCACCAAGTACGGGTTTCTTTTGTTGTGCTGACCATGGGTAAAAGGGATGTTTCGGTCACAGAGTGGGGAGAATGAGCTCAACAGCGGAGAGGCGTGTATATCCTCATGCTCAGGAAAGCACCATCTCCATCCTCTTCTCACAACTGCAAAAACATCCCCCGTCGGCAGAAATGGATAAAGGGAGGTAAGAGAAAATGCTGCTGTATATGTACAAAAAAAAAGCTTGTTCAGATACACTCAGAAGGAGGGCCTAAGGGAACTTTACTGCAAAGTAAACCCAGATCTCTTTTTGCTTTTACAGGCAGTGCTCAAATGGTCATTTCACAACTGGTCTGTTTGTTCCACCTTTTCCTCCTTCCCCTGCCTTTCAGTGGCGCCTGTACAATAGGCCACACTGCCAGTCCGCACCGCAAAACAGTAAATCAAGCCGAGGGAGAGAGCCCCTGGAAGAGCCAATGTTATATTGTACTCTGAGTTTGTTCTAAGTTCAGTTGTTTTAAGTGTTCTGACAAGAAGCTTTAGAATATGAATTCCAGACATATAAAAGGAACTTCAGTGACTGGACACCAGGAGGCGTTCTGACCAAGAGAATCACAAATCATTCAGCAAATCTTACTGTATTTACAGCTGACAGCATTTTGCAGTATGGGTTTGGTTTTGCAGTATCATGAACTCAGCACTGTGTAACAAAGAAAAACACAAGCAAGATGTTTGCTTACTTGCTATTCAATTAATTGGGGCTTAAGGCACCAGGTAGTTTTTTCTGCTTTACCCTAAATTTCACATTTTTAGGGGCCATATTTCCTTATTTCTGGGATTTCCATAAAAATAAAATGTAGGTAAGCCAATTTCACACTTTCCGAATATTGAGTATTTGATTATTCTAGAGTAGATATATATAACCATACTCTGCTGTTACAGAATTATTTTTTTAAATCCACATCTTTAACCTGTTCTTCTATTCTTTGAGCTTGATTTTTTTTGTCCTGCTGCTCAAGCCTACATCCAACAAATTCACCATTTCTCTTTAAACATATAATAAACAAATTCACTTTTTTTCTTTTAATTTAGTGATCAAATTCTCCTTGAAAAAAAGTCTCAGAAAAAACTTTCCGCAAACAGGCAGTGAGTGATAAGCACAGTGCTAAATGTCCCTTCTTATCTGTTGTTATGTAAAAGTTAAGGACATTTGTATGATAACCTATCCATTGCAGGAACATTTCTCTTTTAAACCCTCAGTTACATTCTTTTCAGTGCTGTATTGTCACTCAAAGGAGCCACATTCACACTGCATGGGCCCGTAGCCTTAATTTAGCTGTCTGTGCCTTTTATTTGGATTTGCTGACAAATTAACATACACAACCGAAACTTTCTACTATCTGCAAAAACATGGAAGTCTGAGGGGATTTCTCCTCTGACGTATACAAACACTGTTTTATTTCTGTAAATCAAGCACCAAAGGCAGAAGTTAGGAATACCCAGCAGAAGGCATGTACAGCTTTTTAGACTTATCACTGACTGGAGACCCTCTTGACCTACAGAGAAGGAGCCCTGATGGTGATGGGATTGATGCTGTACAGTATATAGTAGCTTAATTTCATCACCTCCCTTCACCCGTATTCTGCAGCAGTAGCTGTAAGAATATGCTTCAGTGGTCTTAGTGCATTTCACTCCAGTCTTGTTCATGTAACTGTGGTAGTGAAAGGAAAACAAAGAGGAACTCTCAAAATTTTTATATGACCAGGCAATCTAAACTTTGTTACTCACAGTGATTTGAAGCTTAGAACAAAAAGAGATTTGAGACTGGTATGAGCTGCAATTACATTAATTCAGTATACACATCTCGAGAGAAGAACATAGATCTACTAGAGTAGCAAGTCCTACAGGTCCTCTTTCATCTTCTTTCATTGCTACAGCCTATTTCCAGATCCACTTACCCCTGTAAACCAAAATCAGAGAACAGCTCTCCAAAATCAGTTGAGCACTCTTGACAAGGATCTAGTGGCGTCTGCGCTGACGATACTTCACTACATACTGTAGGTATGAACTTCTTTCACAAGAATTAAAAAAAAAATAAGAAACCGAGATTTTTCAAACATTGGTGAATTTCAACACACAGTATTGCTTGTGTTGTTTTTTAAACTTTTTTTTAAACTTTTTTCATTGTAAACAGTCTGCCCTTTTTTGTCTTAGCTTTAAAAATACATTCTAAACTGACTGCAAAAATATCTGCGGCAAATAACCTGTTACAAAAAAAAATATGAAAGAACATATTACACGTAAAAATTCTGTATAAAAAAAAGATAACTCCCTCTTTTGATAAAATTATTTTTGCAGGGACTGGCGCAAAGGGGAACAATTTGGCTAGAGACTAGTGTCTGGCTTCTACAGCATGTAGACACCTAGAAGTACTGCCACTGCCTTTATGGCTTATTACACAGCTCTGGGACGCCAGGGAGGGCTGTGCAATTGGTCAATTTTGCTGGTGTTGGCATGATTTGGGATTCACGATATCGCTGCTGGTGTTTTCAGAACATGGCTTGTGTTATCTCGAGGCGAGCGGACAGTTAAAACCGGAGGAACCCCATCTGCAATGTCAATGTGCATCTATTGGGCCATCCCATCCTTTTCAGTTCTTTCTGATCACTACCCATTTTGCTAAATAAGAGCCTGGCAGGACAAAAAGCCATGCAATGTCTTGCCAAGGGGATGTGCCATGGGCTTTATGTCCCTCTCTAGCTTTTGCATACAGACTCCCACTTGTACTATGACTTTTATTTATGGCAATTTCTGAAAAATATAAGGGTCTGCATGAGGAGTAAGCCATGGACATGTGCATCGTCAGCAGGCCAGGTGTTGATAGGCGGATGGGCAAGGTGAGTACGACTGGTACAGCTCCCAGCGAACAGTTTTCTGTTGTGTGACAGCTTAAAATGGGGCAATGCCCATTCCTTATTCCAATCTGTGTAGGTGTGCTTGAATGTGCATGTTCAGGAGGGGTGTTCACTTTAACAAAGCTATTCTTCTTTTGATTGAGCTGTAAACATGTATATGTCCATACGTTTGTCTTTTTGCCCATTACAGAAGGACTTCCCCTTCTTACTCTTCAGTGGATGACGGGGCATCTACAGCCTAGGGCCCTTGGTGTGTGAGCATGAGGCAGTGTGAATCTGCAGTGTGTGTGCAGGGGGAGCACAGCGCCCTTTCCTCCTCTCCTACAGCCTGTCGCTGCGGAAGGTGTCCTCCACAGAGGGGTCAGGCAGGACCATGTCAGGGTCACTCAGCATACTGAGGCCGTCCAGGCTGAGCGGCTCGATGCGCAGCTCTTCACCGAGAGGGAACCCCCCCTCCGAGTCGAAGCACTCGGGGACCGCCGATAGCGCACTGCTGATGTCCTTGGACAGGCTCGGGTTCGATTCGTCTGCGGGGACAGAGAGAGGAAACCTCACAGCATATTCAGGAGTGCACATCCTCCACAAGCCTGGCAGAGGTGATCTATAGACAGTGTAGTGTCATTTATCTTCTCAAATGCTTTGATTTTCAAACAAATTAACACAGGGTCACGGCCAGGCCAAACTAATCCATCACAGAAGGCTCAGCTACAACATAAAACGACCAACTGAAGCAAGAGATCTGCTGAGAATTTGTATTTATTGCTATGTTGAAACCTTAAGACATGAACTCACTGGTTACAGGACAGTGTGGAAATACAGCTTCCTTAATGAGTCCATCAGCACTTCCTACTTTACAGCTACGTTCCCCCTGCAGAGGGCTCCTCCTTATTTTGCACTGACAAGCTTTAGAGACAAAGCTGCTCTTTCTGCCTACCAGCCGCTGAGCCATCAGCAAGCTGAAGGCGGGTGAGCCAGGCTGCGCGCACATGTCGCTGGGGCTCCGTACCAGTCAGAATGATGTTGGGGATGCCCCCTCCGCAGTTGGAGAAAAGCATGTTCTGCCTCATCTGCAGCGAGTCCTGCAGGTTGCCATGGCTACCTCCCAGCCCCATCATCCCGGCCTGGGAGTAGGACAGGTTGGAGCCCGGGTCAAAGTAGCTGCCTCCCGGCATGGAGCTCATGGCGCTCTCCAGCATGCTGAACTGGTCAAGCTGGACGGGAGAAAGAAAATACGACTCCAATTCCATTTCAGCTTGCTGTGGAGCTGAACAATGTAGCCGAGCATGACCATTTCCGAGTAGAAACAAACTGACAAACACAAAGAACTACCTGGTAAGACAGGGACTTGGACTGTCGATTGGAGAGCTGGGGGTCCATGAAAGGGTCACTGAAGAATGCCCCCATATTGTTATGCTGTGAGAAAATACAGGGGAGAGAAAGAGATCAGTAAAATCTTTATTTAAGATTAAATGATAAATGCAGTCTGTGGCTTATTTACATATTGTGTCATGCATGATACAGCATATGCTAACACCATACAACGGAATCTGGAAAGTACTAGAGAGACATAACAATTTCTCAGTTTACACTTATAAGCCCAAATTAATTCTGTTTCTTTTTATTCCATTATCAGTACAGGACTGATGGGATACCCCATCACTATGACCCGTGACTATGTGTGACAAGTCCATGCCACTCACACTGGAGGAGTTGAGGTCAAGAGGCAGGTTGTGCAGAGGGGACACTGGCTGTTGGTGCTGCTGGTGCTGTTGTGGCTGGTGGTGGACTCCCTGCTGATGCGGATGTTGATGATGCTGTTGTTGTTGATGTTGATGCTGTTGTTGACGTTGTTGATGTTGTTGTTGTTGATGTTGTTGATGTTGCTGCTGCTGCTGCTGCTGCTGCTGCCCTGGATGATGCTGAGAACTGTTCTGCAGTGGCTGATGGGACTGCTGTTGCATTGGCTGCTGGGATTGTTGGTAGAGAGGGTAAGGAGGGGGTGGCTCCATTGGCAGGTTGCTGGTATCCAAGGCAACCCCCTAACAACAGCAAAACAAGATCACAGGTGTCAGAAAAACTGCATGGGGTCAACCTAACAAAAGAGGCAGTGCTATTCATACATTGTAAGGTAGAGTTTACTTCAGAAGGGATTCTGTAGCTACAACTACTTCTTGTGCTTCTTGATCTTGCGTGATAGCCAGAAGCACTGCCTGAGCAACAGAGAGAAGTAACAGTGCCTACCTGAGTGATAGGGGACAGGGAGGGCGACATGGTGGGCGACAGCTGCTTGACCAGACCTCTGCGCTGCTCTGTCCCAGGGGACAGAGTGAGGGGGCTAACGGGCGTGGGGCGCCTCCTTGGGGAGCTGCCTATGCTGCCCGAAGGGGGGCTGGACAGCGAGGAGAGGCGCAGGGACGAGTGGATGGAGGGGTTACTGAGAGACGAGTGCAGCTGGGAGTTGTTGAGGGAGGCCTGGATGGAAGGATTGCTCAGTGACGAAGAGAGACCTGTGGCAGAAACAGACAAACACAGTACAGGAGAGAGAAAGAAAAAAAAGGAGGGAAGGGTGACTAAAAAGACATGATAATTTAGGCACAGCCCTCCTAGGCCAAACAACAGAGAAGAACATTTTTATAATTATGTGGAGAATTAGTTTTGTTTGAGTGCGAGTACACTGGGTATAACACGAAAGCACTCTTTCGGGTTACCAGGCCATTATTAGCCTTCATGGGCCAATTTTGTTTCACTAATTTTTCTGCATTCCTCTACCCCGAAAACAACCCACTCCTGACCCCTGTGACACAGATCATTTGCACTTTAAGTGCATCTCCCATCCCCTCTAGCTGGAGAGCACAGCTGTTGGCGTGTCACCAACACTGGGGTCAGGGGTCAGGTGTACACTTTCCCTTTGAGCTAGTGCCAAGCACCACCACTTTCAGCTTATACAGGGCTCAGGCATGCTGCCCTGCAGAGGGAGGAAACTGGGAAAGGGCTGTGACAGAGGAAGCCTTCGATTCTGATTTCATGACACATGCACAACTTGTTTTGGTTTATTACAGATGACTCAATGAAGTCTGTGGAGGGGTGAAAAATGATTAAAAAGACGCTATTTAATACGTCTGAACTGCCTTTATCCTTCCTGATGATGACGAAACTCACAACACAACCAGAGGTAAAATGCTGTAGAGGGAAAGGGGATGGTTATGCCTTTATGATCATTTTGCTGTAACCAGCTGACAACATTTGCAATTGTTCTATTGATGCTATTTGGTTTGTGAGACCAATAAGTCATGTTAGATGGACAGAGGTTACTTAATATGAAATGTTAAGATTGAAATCATTCAAATTAAGTGCTAAAGCAGATGATCATTCTAAGAGCCTCTAAGCCCTGTGCTCAGTACCACAGTTAACCTTCTCTCTCTGTACCTTGTGAGTTTCCAATGCCCAAATGCATCATGGCAGCAGGCAGGTTGCCAGTGCTGTTCCCCCCACTCAGGTTGGGGTACCCCCCATCCTCAGGGTCCAGAGGCGTGGGCAGGGGCGAGGGGAAGTGCAGGTTGCTGAGGTCTGGCAGTGATCCTCCTGTGTTTAATGTCCCCTGGAAATGGGAGAGACCAGCATTCTGTTCCGGGGACGGGAATATACTGTGAGGAAAAAAAAAGATAGTGGGCCTTAGATTTGTAATTCAAAAATGAAAAGAAATGTCCTTGCATATTTGACAACATGATTCTTCCTTGGGACACTAAAACTTGTTTAAACATACAAGATGGTAAAATAACCAGTGGGCAGTGTCAGACATTCAGACTAACCAGGGCGGAGCAGTGGCTCTGTGGCTAAGGATCTGCGCCTGTGGCTGGAAGGTTGCCAGTTCGTATCCCACGGCTGGCAGAGGAATCCTACTCTGTGGGGCCCCTGAGCAAGGCCCTTAACCCCAACTATAGGGGTGCCGTATAAATGGCTGACCCTGCGCTCTGACCCCAAGCTTCTCTCCCTCTCTGTGTGTCTCATGGGTATGCGAAAAGACAAATTCCTAATGCAAGAAATTGTATATGGCTCATAAAGTGATCTTATCTTATCTAACCAGTAGAAAATCCCATGTGCATGTTTTGGATATTACTGCTAGGATATGTTGATGGAAAACATAGGTATACAGGCAATAATAAAACCACAGAAATCACAATAAGCATTGCACAGGGTATACAATTTGTAACAGTAAGAGTGAAAGGAATAAGCTGAAGGTCAATTTGCTTATGAATTTGCAAAAACAAAATAATTTAAGGTAATCAACCTAAGAACACACAGATACATAGCACCACAATTACATTTGATTGTTTTTATTTCAAGATAATACTTCTTTCTCAGGTTATTTTTTTCTTACTTTTTTCCATGTTATTCACTGATGTTATCCTCGTACAATACAATCCTGGAGTGACATCTAGTTCTCAACAGTAGTTTTGTCTTTGAATCCATTAAATATTGAAGTGACATAATTATGCTTTTAAAATACTCAATGCCACCAGTATAAGTAATGACATCAAAAGGCCTGGCTACATTCTTTGCACATTACAAATCAAACTGAATATAAGAACAATATGAAAGCAGTATACTTTTACCTTATCAGTTAACTTCTCATAGCAAGAGATATGAGTCTTTAGCTCGAAACACTAAACTTCTGAAGCTGATCTCCATAGCTGCGGTTAATACAGTTAAGCCCAATATTGCCATTTTTGTCACTCATTCTTTTAGAATTCCTTGAGTATGTCTTTTACATTGTAAAACAATGTAATATTATTTCCGTATAATGCAACACGTTTAGAAATAATCAAGCAACTATTGTGAAATGACATGACGTTAACTCAGAATAATGTAATATATTTTTCTTAGTACAGAGAGCTCCCTTAAGCTTGCTTCAAAGACTTCATACAAGAAAAAAAATATTTTGTTGTTTTCTGAATCTTGAGTCACAACTATGCTGCTAAGTGATAAGAAACACAGAGGCTATGGTAATCATTTGCTCTGCCTGAGGCTCTTGTCAGGCAGCAGGTAACTTGCACCTTTCCTCCTGTTGAAAAATACGTCCAGAGTTCAACTCACTTGATTCCAGGCACTTCACAGGACTTGGGGCGTGAAGACAGAGACTGAACCTAACACGATGAAACAAAGAGATTCAGTTAAGGAGTGAAGTGGGAACATCATCAAGATGGAGAGGGGAAATGAGATCCTAGGGCCAAATGATCTATGTTTTCACTTCAATAAAAAGACAGCAGTGCTTCATTTAATGTGGAAAAACAACCAATTCATTGGGAAACCCAAGATGGAACAGCAACAGAACCATTACTCTATAAGGCAAGATATAACTCCAGTCTAGCTTAATATCTTACAACATACAATGAAAAGCAGCTTTAAAGCAGAAAAAGAAAATTTATTGACCTCAACTGTGGCTTCATCCGGACTGAACAAACATAGCTATGCCTTTATACTTAAAGCAGGCTTCTAAAAAAACTTGTTGAGGACCATCTTCTAACTCTAGCCAGCAGCTATAGCACACTGCAACTCACTGGCAAACCCCTGAAGTGCGACCAAGTGTGAGCCTGGTCAGCACCTGGATGGGAGACCACCTGGGAAAGGTAAAGTGGCTTCTGGAAGAGGTGTTAGTGTGATCAGTAGGGAGAGCTCACCCTGCGGTCTGTGTGGGTCCTAATGCCCCAGTATAATGACAGGGACTCTATACTATAATAACAAATTGTGCTGTCCTACAAATGAGATGCACAACTGAGGTCCTGACTCTCTGTGGTCATTAAAAATCCCAAGGCGTTTTTCCAAAAAGAATAGGGGTATTAACCTGGTGTCCTGGCCAAATTTTCCCCTGTCCTTTACCAATATTGACCTTGTAATAATCCCCATCTATCAAGTTCAAGTTTATTGTCATATGTACCAGAGTACAATGAAATGCTTACTTGCATGTTTTCCTCACATTACAAATGACATAACAGATGACATAGCATTGATATAGAAAATGACATCACTTGGTGTCATCACTCTGATCTCCTCCCCACTGACAGTTGGTGTGGAGTGAGTGTTCTGGCGCACTTTGGCTGTCAACGTATCATCCAGGTGGGGGCTACACATTGGTGCTGGTGGAGAGGAGTCCCATTACCTGTAAAGCGCTTTAAGAGCAGTGTCCAGAAAAGTGCAATGTAAGTGTGAGGAATTATTATACATTATAACTTTCTTCCACCTGTATCTCTCACTCACCTTCTTGGCCTCCCACAGCTGTTTGGGCAGGGGCTTACTCACCCCCATTAGGCTCTCTTCGTTGGGCAAGGCTGGGAAGGAGAACACTGGAGAGAGAGATGATGAGTCACGTGATGAGATGTAGGGCCAAGTGTAAGAACAAGTACTCTTAGCACAAAACTGAGTGGCTCTGAGTCTTTCGAGGACAGAGGACTCAAGGCACTCTCCAGTGTATCAGAATGTAACTGCTTGAATAAATCACTGTCTGCGAGTGAATGAGTGAACAAAAGACGCCCCAGAGAATTGTGTAATCCGCTGGCTGTCTCACAGGACACCATATGACCTTTTCTAAGGGAACAGAGATGTAGGCGGAGTCAACAGGAAACAGAGAGGGGCTGCCAACCACAGGAAGAGCACTTTCAACTTAGGCTCAGGGTCAGGGAGAGTGAAAGAGCACTGACAGACTGGTTACACTGACAGCAACAGGCAGGATCTCTGAAGCAGAACACACCCAGAGGCAGCTGAATTGAGCAACTACCTCAGATTTAATTTCCTTTAATAAACAAGTCAGTCTGCATTTCAAAGAAGTCACTACCATGCTAGGCAAGGCAAGTGTCACGATGACAACAGCAAGAAAAATGTCACTCACCTTCTCCTGAGCCATCCACATCAGCTTCATTGACGCTGGCTGCAGGAGAACCACCAGCAAAACCAGAGATAACAAAAAACAAAACCAACAAAAATAATAAAGGCATCAAAAAGATTCCATGATGAAAGTTTAAAAATATCTACTACCACTCCCTTGTACACATCATTGGAGATGACTGAGATAACACATCCATACCCTCAACAAACTCAATCTACCTCACTGAACAATAGTCTAAAAATAAAACTGTCACAAAGAATTCATGTCTTCTTCCTTAACGTAAACAGGCCAATTTAAATATATATATAATTGTAAAGTTTGTCAAGCCATTTTTATACTTCATTGTCACTAAACCGGTCGGTCTGCCAGTTAGCGGCTGAATCATCTTGTCTTGTTGCTGTTGGTTCTGAAACGGTGTGGTGTGGGAAAACACTCAGAGCTGTGTGCAATGTAAAACCTGGCTCTGCTGGTTGTCTGCCATGAATGAGAGAGTAGAAATGAGTGAAAATAAGCTCTGTGACCACAAGGCCCAGCGGGAGAAATAGAGAGAGGCATTGTTTTCACTGCTCGGCGAGAACCCAGAAGACAACAGGGCTCTATTCTCCTACCTTTTAGTTTTTCTCTATTGCTACAGGCTGGAAGCCAGCTTTCTGACAAAGGGTTTGTCTTCTGTTTTTTTTAAACCTCTGCAGAACTATGTCATTTTTTAGAAAGCGGGACTATGTTTTACAATGAAAAGTCTGCTAACAGACTTTACTGGACCCAGTGAAGAGCCAGTTAAACTCAACTTAAAACTCAATACTACGATATATATCTTGGTTCTGCCATCACAGACACAATAATGAATGTACTCCATCACAGGGCCCTGTTGCACCAGACAAAGAGGAGAGGATATTCTGTTAATCCCTTAATTGTCAATTACACCTCATCTATTACGTAAGGAATACTTTTTACATTAAAATCCGACTAGCCCAAATCCCATCTGAAGTCAATTATTCTCCACCGTGATCTGTGGGAGAGGACAAATGCCCTGACATGCCCCGCTAAGATGGCCCCTCCTCCAGTCCGAGCTCATTAGCACAGACAGTAAATTAGCTACCGGCCTCCGAAGAGATTTCTTATTAGTAGGAGAGGCCACACGGCATGGGACTCTGAACTGCAATGTCACATCAGGCAGGGACAGGCCTGCACGTGCCGCACAAATCAATGGCATTTAATCCAGCGTCATTTTTATGTGGTGCCATAACATCAGACGTACTGCGAGGGAGGAAAAAAAATCAATAGAAATCTGAACAAAACTCATGAAAAGTGATTCCAGCTGACAATCATTTCAACGGGTGCCTTATTATGTTTCTCTCCTCCAGGCACTGTGTGAAGACACCTGCTGAAAAGACTGTGCTCTGCCCATCTGAGGTTTCTTCAGTTGCTTTCTGTTTTGATCTTACCCCATGTGCCCCAGATCTTTACCAAATATCCTGTTTAAACTCGTCAGGTTATCAAACTACAGCCTGATCTTCTCTTTTATGGCTGGAATCTGATAGCTCCTCACTGCAAAGCTATGCGCCAGGCTTGTCAAGAACATCAGCTGAAGTGCAGTGCTAAGTGTTAAGAGTCTTGTATGCCTGTGAGGTCAGGAGGAGCAAACATTGTCCACTACTTCATGTGCTCAGACCTCAAACCTGTACGAAGGGAAGTCATCTCACCAAAACCTACCCTGACTTTATATGCCCAGTTTAGATCAGTTTAGATTCTGATGAACATTTTCAAGCATTTTGTTTTGCAAGTAACCAGAAACAGAAGGCTACAAATACTTTCATGTGTTAAAAGCTTGAAATGCTTTCTTGTGTTAAAAGCTTCCTGTGGGACCTGGCTAATGCCTTGATAGCACTGCCCTAACGAGCTCCTTTGAACGAACTATCAAATTTGGACTAGCACTGTGTTCCAAGGCAGACATATTCTAGCTGCAGAGATGCATCTTGTGTCATACAGGATGTACTTTATGCTCTCTGTTAATCAGTGACCCAGTGGTTTAAACACAAATATCAAAACAAGCAAGATCACCTTGACATAAACGCTTCAGTGCAGTTCAAGTGACAGCAACAGCTGGTGGTCAGTTCCCTGTATGAGCTACACTCCCTTCTGAAATGCTGTTTTTACCTCTTATGAAAGATTACCTTGGCTACTCTACTGCAGTATTCTTTGACTTTTGTTGTGGCCCCCATACTGTGGGAAACCAAAGGAAAAAAGAGAAAGACCACAGCTGTAGTGTGAAAGCACAATTCTTAATTTGTTTCACTGCATTTTTTTAAGTGGCAAGAACAGTGGACCGTGCTCTCCACAATAAATGCAGGGGAAAATGTAGAAAAGGAAAAACTCATAAGTAAATTTTCTTCTGTATTTTTGGGCTTCTTTACACTATGAATTCAAAACCCCAAATCTTTTTTCCTGAAATTAATAAATGAACAAACAGCCCACAACAATCCCACAGTGCTGTGGTACCTTTAATCTTGAAATAGGCTCTGGGTGGCACCCTCCCCTCCGCCTCAACCCACCCCCACAGTAATCCCTTTGAAGGTGGAGATTAAAAAGGATGAGTGGGCCTTGTCTCACCATTGCGCTGTGGGGGCCCTCTGCCCATCTGCTGGTTCATCCCTCCAAAAGAGTCCTGAGGATTGGGGTTCAAGGCGCTCGTGTGCAGGGCAGAGTCTGAATTCGTCCTTTTGGGGTTGGTGGGGTGTGTTGTGGAGAAAAGGAAAGACAGACACATTAGACCCTTGACAGCAGCTGCTTCTTCTTCACTGTACAGAAACACTCATTCAACTCTGCTGCGATGAATCAGGTTTAGGTATAAGGGTCACTGCCACCTTCCGCTTGCACACTCACTCTCAGCTTCCTTCCAGGTAAAACCCTTAAAGTGCTCTTTACTGGTCACCAGAGCCTGCATTTCGGCTTGGCATCCTCTTTCAGGATGGATTTTTTTCTCAAGGAAGATAAAGGGGGTTCTTTCTGTGCTCAGTATGGGAGATCACAGAGATATAAAGTAAAAGGGCTCAATTCTGGTACAGAAAAAAAAAGAGTTCCCTCCAGGCAGCCAGTTAACACAAAGGATTGGGTCTACAAACACATTATAGTGATTCAGGAACTACATCAAACATCCAACAAGATGTTCAGAATGTGATGGGGAGAAAAAAACATTTGGCACAATACTTAAAGGCAATTCATAACTCGTGAAATTGATATGGTGTCGCACTTACCAAGTAATTAACCCCTTACATTAACAGGATTAGAAACAAGTGTGTTATACTGCGCAAGTCATACAACATAGAGAAAATGACACATGTTCCAAAGCGAAGAACCCCCACAAGGATGTTTGTCAGACTAAGTAACCCCCAAATTAAAACCTTGTCAGGATTCAGAACAAAAAACAAACTGGGAAAGGAATGGGGAAACATGAAATAAAGGACGATAAAAATAAAGGGTAGAAAAAAAGGTGGAGGGTGACAGAAGGAAAATGAAGATCAATCCAGATGTAGCGGGTCTGTGTGAGCAAAGGTCAGAGTTCACCTGTTGAGCTGGGACATTAATCTAAATCCGGGCCTTTTCTCCTCGCTCCAGGACTGCTGCTCCCTTCAGAGATGGAAACATCACAGTTTACAATCCCAGGCCTCGCCTGCACTGCCCTGGTCTTGGTTAGTAGGGGTTGGGTTAAGAGCGAGAGGACAGGCTAGAAAGGGTCAGTTAAGTTCTGAGCTTAACTGCAGTGAGAGGGAAAGACAAAGAGGCCCAGAGGACTGAAAAAGTATTAAGAATGTCATAAACCATGCTGCCACCTGAAAACAGCACACTGCACTTCCATTAAGAAAGTGATGCTCAGCTTTCAAAACTCTACATTTGAGACCATAAAGAAGAGATATAAGCAAACCTCTAATTAAATATCCAAAGAAGACCATTTTATTTGTAGTTCAGGTGGGTAGCTGCTTCAGCATGCGTAGGCTGCAAAGGAACAAGTAATAGGTTTATTCCATGCTGAAAAAAAGAAGAAAGAGAACACAACGTTTCGGCCGTGGAGCCTTCTTCAGGTGTCAATGGTGTCTACAGGTGTCTACAATATCATCCCTAAAGGATTTCGCCTTAAATTTAATACCTTTTCTTTTGACTCTGATAACACCCAGAGTAACACTCAGAGACTTCTAAAACAATTTTCTAGGAAACTAATGCTCTCTACCATTTTCTCCCTCAAAAAACAGATTATCCTTTCTGACAAAAAAAAAACTTTGACACCTGAAGAAGGCTCCACGGCCGAAACGTTGTGTTCTCTTTCTTCTTTTTTTCAGCATGGAATAAACCTATTACTTGTTCATTTTATTTGTATCTTATTAACTTGCCAATCAATACTTCTTCTTTTTACAACAGCATTCAACATTACAATTCCAGAGTTATATCATAATGTCTAATGGATATAAAATCAAACAGAAACTGAAGGGCAGCAACAATAATATGTTCTGCCTGTCTGGTCTCCTTTTCATCAGCATTGAAGTCTTTCAGACGATTGACTGGAATTTCAGTAGTTTGCTATTCCCCATTTCACCGGCAGGGGGAGATACGTCTCTGGGAGATCAAGACATGGTGTTTTGCTTTCCCTTAGAGGTGAATATAAAATGAAAGTGCAACTCCGAACTACAGAGCCAGGAGGAGTCGAATGATGCTTTATGGTGCTTGCAACTGCAGAAAAACTGCAGTTGGATCCTTGAGATTTCTTAAGGAAAGCCAGCAATATATACTTCAATTAACAGAAAGGGTTTATTTGCATGATATAAACTGCTATTAACTAGTGTTTCTACACAAGGTCAGCTTTTCTTATACTTCTTGGCATTTTTTCTCCTCCTACCTCCAACATGATAACATGAAGGTATATGCTGGGGTACTGTGCGTACAATGCTCTGTTTCTAAGGATTTCTGTAAATGAAAATCTACAGTCTTAAATAGATGGCAACAGATAAGAAGGTACGTATACACAATGGAAGACAAACTCGATGAAGATATACAGTATGTACACTGGTTATCAAATGTATCCCCCCCCCCTCGGACGTTTTCCACATCCTACCGTGTTACAATATAGAATCACAAGGCATTCATTTGTGATTTTTTGCCATTGATCAACATAAAACACTATAATGTCAAATCGAAAAAAAAAATCCACAGATCCTCCTAAATTAATTATAAATATAAAACAGAAAATAAGTGATTGCATCATTATTCACCCTCTTTTACTATGACACACCCAAATATGTTCTGGTGCAACTAAGTGCCTTTTGAAGTCACATAATTTGTTGACTGGAGTCCACCTGTGTGCAATTAGGGTATTTCACCTGAGTTCAGGATAAATATAGCTATCTCTGGGAGGTCCCACAGTTGATTAGTGGGAGAGTGACAAACAAAAACTACATCACAAAGACAAGGGAAATTTCAAAGTAAATCTGGGATACAGTTACTGAATGTGCCAATCAGGGGAAGGATATAAGAACATTTCCAAGATATTACATATCCCCAAAGCAAAGTAGAGTCCGTCTGAAAGAAATGTAAAAAATATGGCTCTATATGAAAATATAAAACTGTGAAGAATAGGGGGTCTTCAAAAAATGTATATCCAGGAGAGAAGAGCACTAGTCAGGGAGGCCACCCAGAGACCTGTGACAACTCCGAAGAAATACAGTCTTTCATGGCTGAGATAAGAGAAACTGCACATGACAATTGCCTGAGTGCTTCACAAACTTGAGCTTCAAGGGAAAGTTACAAAACAAAACCTACATCAAATATCAATTATACTTTGCCAGAAGGCATGCAGAAGATTCTATGGTCTGATGAGACCAAAATTGACCTTTATGGCCAAAATGTTAAGCATTATGCTTGGTAAAAACGTAACAACAAACATCATTCTTTGAACACCAACACTATTGTGAAGCATGGTGATGGCAGTATTGTGCTACGGGTATGAGTCGCTGTATGATGGCCTGGAAGACTTGTGAAGATTGATGGAAAAAGCCCAGACCTAAATCCAATCCAGAATCTGCGTCAGGAGTTGAAAATTGCTGTTTACCAACTTTGCTACCAAATATTGACTCAAAGGGCATAAATACTTCTACAATTAGTTATTTTCCATTTTATAATTTATTTAGGAGGATTTGTAGAATTTTGATTTCACATTGACACTTTATAGAATGTTTTCCATCAATCGAAAACTCCCAGTTAAATTCTGATTCCATATTGAAAATATAAAATGTAAAAAAGTCCGGGGGGGGGGGGGATACTTTTCATAGCTACTGTGAATGTCCTATATAAGTCACTGGTGAAAATGTTTTACACACATATAGATTTAAATAAGAAACACTTACATTCATGTGCTTCAGTTCCATGCAGAAAAGGGATGTGAAATGTTTATCACTCATTTTTTAATGAGCTTACCATCCTCACCACATATTAATGATTTTTATTGGAAAGAGAGGCAACCTCTAGTAATTTCTGAGCAGGTCCTGTGAAAGAGGTATACTTAGTATTCCTCATGGCTCTTTTCCATAAGGCGCGAGTCCCTTGCTGATCAGTAGGCAGCAGTTCACAAGCTCCCTCCTTCAGGGGTTCAATCCTCAGCAGGGCTGGGCCGAGAGAGGGCTCCGTCTGGGAAGAGCTGGTCGAGGCGGTGGGAGAGCGTGGGACAGGCAGAGCAGCAGTGACCTGCACTGCTGACCCGGCCCAGCTGTGCGGAGCGGAACTCCGCGGGGACGGACTGCCGTCTCTGACCGAGCCCGCTCCTCTCTGGGGACTGCCACTGCCCCGCCCAGAAAATCTGCTTTCCCTTTTCTGCCTCTCCTCTGGGAGACGGTGCTCTTTGGAAAAAGAAAAGGCCCTCACTAGGCCTCTCCATCCTATCCCTTCCTTTCTCTCTCTTGCATCGTCTTCAATTTAAAAGACTTTATCCTTGAGTGCAACAGAACCTTGCAATGTCATTTGTAGATTACATTATGCCTGATTCTGTCTCATGTCCGAGTCTGAAGAGGTTTGCTACTATTGAACTTACACAGAAAAAACAGAGAATTTCATCATAAAACTGACTAACTGGATAACTCCGCATTACAACATCAAAACATTTTAATGCAGTCACTAAAAACTGTAAGATGGGTATCAGCCAGTGATCTAGGACTCAAAGCTTCCATTATGAAATTATCCGTTTATAAAGGGAGTCAAAATTCAAATCCTAAATTCAAGTCCTTTTATTAAAAAATGATGAAAATGACCATATAGTCTCTGCTACAACTTTAATTATAAGATGGAAGAAGCTGACTCAAATTTAGATTGTACACAATGCATATGCAGGGCCGTATTTGCTGGGGATGGGTGTTTGTGTTGTGCACAGATGGGCTGCAAGATGCAGATGGTGTGTTGAGAAGTCTGGGAGATTCAGAAACAGAAACTGAAATACAGTAGATGGCTTTCATTATTCAGCCTGATGCAATGCCATGTGTCAGGAATCTCCAGTTAGTTATGCTGGCCTGTTTTAACCTATGGCAAAACTTAGGATATACTAGTGTTTCTGCTTTCTGACATGCCTGTCATAGCTACTGCTCACTGTACCAGCCACCTGACTTTTCACTCTCCTAGGAGAAGGGTTTAAATTACTCTATTCAGAGCTAGCAGGTGTGTAACCCAGCTCCAGTTTCAATTAATGCCTGCGGTGTTACCAGTACTTAAAGGAAAAACGAAAAAGCAATCACACCACGATTCACTGTGGCGCTATTATGAAACACAGCTTGAGAGCTTTTTGAGCACTTTGATCATTTGGAGTAAAACTTAACTTGCAGTGTCTTACAACATATTGTGAACTCCTAAGTGGAAACAGTCTTGGGGAGGTTTGTACAAATTAGATTATTGAATAATTTACTTTTTGAATGTACAAGATGTCTGGAACTATTTAACTAATGTAGTAAACAAGAATAGCATTTCATCATGACACATCTATATATACTGCACTGCTTTACAGGCTGAGTATCCACTTTTTGACAGAGGATTACAGCACAATAAAAATCCACCTGAGAAATCTGCCACACATTAGGAAACCAAGGTGAAGTTGCACTCTCCCAGCTGCAGAAACCAGCTGTGTTGTCTGAGGCTCTGGTCACGTAAGGGTTAACAGGCTTAATGGATCCTCTCCAATGTGGCCTGCAGTAATGCGCCACAGATGTTGTGTTAGCTGTAAACATTTCCCGCTCCCCTCTCCCAGGGGGCTTCCAGCAGTATCTGTCTCCCAATCCCTTCAAATTCAGCCTCGTAACAGCCGAAAATCCTCTGAAACCCGTGCTCTACCCAGCCAGACTGTCATGAAATCCAGACCTGAGCACGTTCTCCTCTTCCCCACACTGTCCAGAATCTGTTCTCTTCCTCACTGTATCTCCTCCACCCAACACAGTCCAGACTGCTACTGCTGAATCACATGGCTAACACAGGCAAAACCTGGATAAAGGAGTCTGCTTAGCAAATAAATAAGGATGATCTGTTCAACCTCAAGTGAAAATATGAATAAGAGTTTCAAATTGGGGACAATATAATTCATGACTAGCACTATGCCTGATTTGTTTTTACACAGAAATCATGACCATAAACTCTGTTGGTCACAGTCTTGGGAAACAAGTCACTTCCTGATTTATTAACTTTATTTGTGCTTAAGTGAACACTACAGTGCCTTTTGACGACCAAAATCAGGCTGAAATTCCCTCGGACACTTTTTAAGTATTCAACAGAAAGGTAATGATGAGTCTCTTGGCTTCTGTGCAACATACTTTCCTTCATATTCAAAGATTTCAAAAGGCTGTGGCCCTCTACACACACACACATTTCATCATGACCTCTCACACTGACTATTCCCAGTTTTGGCAACCCTGAGAGGCAGCTGCTGAAAGTACTGGAAGCCAACCCAGAACATCCAGCCTGCACAAAATGAAGGGGTAACCTGGGGTAACAGGAGGAGGAAGGCTGCCTTTGGAGAGCTGCTGTGGTTAGTAGTACATATGCTTTGGAAAAAGAACAGAGAAGCAGCTACAGCGATCTGTGCTAAAAACGGCAGGTTAGAATCAGAGAGAAATATTGCTGGTTAGTACTGGGATCTCACCAGGACTGGAAACACTTGAAGAAAATTGATAATCAAAACATCAACAAATAAAAACAATTTTTAACCCCTTACTTAGGGCAGGTCTTAAAAAAACACAGCTCCCATTTCACAAAGCATAACCTACACGCACATTTCCTTAATGATATGTTATTTTACACGGCCTCAGTGTTTGGCAAGTGTTTGAAGCACCTACAGCAGTTATTCTTGCTAAAATTGTCTTTGACAAAGAAGCGTATGTTCACGACAAACTGGTGCATTTGGAACTGGACTAAACATAATCATTAGGTTTGGCAACAGGGCTCCTTGATGGAAAAAGCCATTTGTTACTCAACAGCATTGAAGCATTAAAAAGGGGAAATCGTGTTGTGGAATTTTATTTAAAGGTGCCTAGTTCTTTATGTCTTAATACCCTTCAGTCCAGTTGTGTGTGTATGATGACCCACCAATAAGCACAGGAACGCAAATGTTTACAACACAAATGACTACTGTTCCTACATTCTATAAATCATTCACCCTCAATACATATTATTCAATACATGAATTATAATATTTATCATTACACTGCATTCATAGTTTTAGTGCACACATTCCCTTTGGCACATTGCAGTTCTCCGAGAACTCAGAAGAGCACTGTGCGTGGGTGCAGACCAGTAATGTCGTTCTTCTTGGTTAACATACCCTGATGTTTTCAAATACACATATTTTACAAGTGGTAAATAATAAAGTCCTTTACTGAACTTTGAAAATTCCAAATGTACCTTTACAAAGGGCTTTGCAAGACTGGCAGTAAAAAGATAACCTTTTAACTTAATCTTTAAAAAAAATCTAAAATGGACATGCACAGTGTCTAGCAGAATAAAATAAAAAAGAGGAAGAATCAGCTAAACTCTCCATATAGAAAGCAGACCACTACAATAATGACCCCATTTAATGCATAGATAGTATCATTTCTACTTCTTAAGACATATGTTAATATTGATTTATCTACCAGTGGAAATCAGACCTGTGTGAAGGTGGAACAATGGAGCAGGGGCGTGGACCCATTTTGCTTTACTAGCTGTATTGTACACAGTAGGGAACTGATGCTCCCTCAATATAACAGTGCAATGAGAAGCCAGGCTTCATTGTGTCCCTCCCTATGCTGAAAAGAGCCACACTAGATATAACTTTTTATTACAGGCCATAATTCACTTACTCATAAAAACAGGAAAAATAAAACCAGTCCAACCAGCCTGCTTCGAGAAAGAAAGCTTATAGCCAATTGAACCGAACTGCAGAGAGATGTGGTTTGCATGTTGTTGTTTTTTTAATATAGCTAATTGCTATTCCATTTGGTGCAGCGCAGAGTGAAGAGAGAGTATTAGGTATTCCCCACAGACGACACACAAGCACGACCAACAGATTCCTTCAATGTGTCATCTGACCTTTAGCCAAAATGCTAATCTGTTAGAAATACCTCTGTAGGTGTAGCTCTCCCCAGGCAAAAATACCAGCCTGGCTAGTAGCTCACTGAATGCTGGGGGCACACAATGCTGATGAAACCGAAGTGCAGTATAATTAAGATAAGCTTATTTTGGAAGAAAAAAATCCTTTTGCTTTTCATTAATAAACAGTATAATGTATATAATTATATCGAAAATTATTTGTAATGCACTGCTTCTGAGGACATTGAAGGAATACAGTAAAAAAAGGCTTGATTTTTCAAAGATATATACAGTATTTAGTATATGGTGTGGCAGGCCAAAAATTATTTTCCAATCTAATCAATCTGTACTTTTTTTGTTTCCCTATTCTCAGTATTGGCTAAAGGTCTGAGTCCTAGCCAGGGTCTGCTCCAACCAATCTGTCTGGGGTTTATTATTGATGGGTCTAACAAACCGTCACACCCAGCTCTATGTAGATGTGGCTCGGATTCTACAATATGTACCCATGCTTTTCGCAAGGCCTATGGACTGAACCCAGGTTTGGATAGTCAGTGAAAATGCAGCACTCACCTTCTCCAGCTGTTATCAGGGGGTGGAGACAGGTACACCGATCCGTATGGAGAGCTCTCAACGTTTCACAGTCAAGGAAAACTCATCTCAAAGGCAACTCACACGAGGACATTCAAACCTTCAAGTACTTATTAAATCAAAAACCACAATAACATTAAAACAACTTAAGCACTGTTTTACCTGTACAGCACCAGAGACTGATAGCAAGGCAACACAACACAGCCAAGTGCCAAGAGATCTAGTAAGAGACAAGGGACGGGGAAGGCATTGTTCTAGAAGCTAGAACCCAGAGGCCACTGTGGTATAATTGCAGAGCTGAGAGACTGAGAGGCATTAAAGTCCATTTATTAAAACTGAAGGGCAGGGACACAATATAATACAACTGCTTAGGATGACAGCCTGGAGAGGCAGCGAGCTCAAGAGATTTGCGTAAAAGGTCTGGGGGAAGTGTGGACCAGTGGTTAAATAAACTTTAAACCGATTTAAAAGAAACAGATAAATAGGCACAATTAAAACTAAAGAAAAACAAACAAAAAAACCCACTGTACTAAAGACAAAACATATGACTTTCAATAAAGTCCTGGAACAGCCAGACTTGAACAATAATACAGGCTTGATCAAAGGTCAGTGAAACAATGGCAACATTATCGACCCCTTGCAACTGTCAGTGTGTAGTTCCTTGCATTGTCCAAGAGAGAAGCACTTCAGACAAAGAGCAGGAAAAAAAGTCCTGGCACTTTCACCATCAAACATCTGCTCCATCTTGGAAGACGCAGTCATTTCTTTAAAGCAATGAGGAACTTGCCAGTAACAAAGTCCCTTGTTCATCAAGAGATGGAAAACACAATGAGATAAGCACTGCCTACAGTAACTGTCTAAACCCTCAAAAAGTCAGATTAGTATTTGAATTACCAAATACAGTGAGCAGATGCAGAAATTTAAATAACTTGAAAACATCTGAAAACATCACATAGAACAATTACAGAGAATTGCATAGATATTTAAATATTTGATAACAGATCAAATATCTAAATATACTGCCAACAGGCCCACAAAACGTGTCAAGACACATACACACAGGATGCTTATGTACTAATCAAAGAGAGATGCTGACACACGTTTTCGTTATTCTTATACCCAAAGCCGGAAGACATGGATTAAGAGAGAGATTTCCTCAGTTTTAATTAGCCTTTAGTTGTTGTAGCCATGGGAAGAGCCAGTAAGCAACAGGTATTATATGACCACAAAGCCACTTGCACTCATCTTACTGAGGGGATCCCTCTATGGTTCAATGCACCTTTTTAACAAATCAGAAGATTGTTTGGTGGCTTGTAGAAATCCACTTCAGCAGATACATGAATTAATGGGGAAATACTAGCTTCTATGGAAAATCTCTAGATAACTTGATTTTTTTAAAACACAAAATCTGGAGATCAATCAGTGAAACAGATGAACTAAATCAAAGACACAGCTGGTAATACATAGTACTCTGCTTATTTATCCCACCTAATGTAAATGCAGTTAAACTGATTTGTTGAAAACTGGACTTGGCTGTAGGAGACATCTGGTGCTTAAAGGAGAAAATAAAATCAGATATAATAAAATGCTAGCCTCAATTCAATGAAAAATGAATGGAAAAATCCTAACCACAGCACTGTGGACAGTGCATTAGTATTTGTACGTTATTTCACTGCTCACTAAATGTGAATAAGCTGTTCAACATTATGCACAGACACCTGCAACAAATTCAATAAACAATAAAGAACTTGAAAAGTCTAGATACACACAATACTTTTACGTAAAAAATAATAACACTCTTTTATTTTATTATGTGCAGATTTAACCAGAAGGTTTAACCATTCATGTAAGCAAATGCTGGCAATATTTTTAAACCATCTAAGCTTTACACTTAGGACCCTATGGGATGGTGTTCATGCCAGAGCAGTCAGAGCTGACTGCTAGCAAAACCGTTTACTTTCTTAAGCACATTCCTCAATGATCCTCAGAATCTAGGATTAATTCTTGGAAAGCTGACGGAGAAATGGAACGGCATCCCCCCGAAATCACAGTGGGCCAGGGAAAGAAAAGGAAAAGGAGGAGGAGGAGGAGTTATAGGCTGGCATCACAAGAGTGGAAGAAATCAATTCAGTTTCCTTTCTTTCAGCTTTGAACTCCATCTGACCTTTCCATATTCAGAACAGCTCCTGAAATAAAACAGTTAACTACACAAAAGACACAATCTGTGCGTTGGGCACGTATTTAGTCTGGTCGCCTCTAATTGTTCCCAAATATACTGAACCTGAAGGCAATACCTGAGTGTCCAAAGATTAAAATGCAGCTAAACTAAATCTTGAATAAGGACTATAGTGTCTAACTGCAAATTAAAGCAGTGGGAGAAGGACACTGCAAACAGGCAATAACAATTCTCTGAGGTAGGAGGAGATGGGAGTGGTTATTGCTGCATTTCTGGCTCGGGCTGCCGGGAGTCAGAGGGTCATGAGCGTCTTTCCCTGTAAGTGAATCAAGGCAGAAGCTTTTCACGGAGCAGAATTACTCAGATCCAAGGAGTGTGACGTCAGGCAGTGAAGTGCTTACATAACACTGCTGCCTCCAAACAGCATCACGCACTTGCACATCTGTGAACCTACAGGGATTAACCCCAATGGGACCCAGCTGTTTGAACTCTCATCGCTGTGCATGAATCAAAGCTTTCTTTGAGGATTCATATCTCCTCCTCAGCCTCTGACAGTTTCTATAGAAACCCTAGAGTGGCAGTGTGCAGCCCTAGAGACATACAAAAAGACATAAAGACATAAAAAACACATGTGGTTTCCACCACTCAGTTGTTGCCTTGCAAGGGGGTCAGATCCCCTCCATGATCATGCGAAGACACATGGGAAAGAACTGTAGGACCTGATTTCTAGCAGTCCTCTTTTGTGAAATAGCTTGCAAATTTATCTCTGCAAATCTCATGGCTTAGCAAAATGTTGCATGTCTGTTTCCTGACAAAGTTGCTGGGCCAGGGACTGTGCTGACTCTAATGGGATCAGCCCCAGCAACACCCAGAAGCAGAGGCTGGGTTTGCCTTAATGTTCCCCAACATGGGATAAAGATACACTCCTTCCATTTCTCCAGACAGAGCTTCAGTACGTTTTGTACAATACCTCTAGATGGCTTTGCTGTACACCTAAGAGCCCTTTTGATGGTGTGGTCAAAATGTGCTAGTGAACAACAGACTTGGAGTAAAAAGTCCATGTGACTTTTCAGAAAAAAAACACCAACGATTCAGACCTTCCTTTAAGATCATCAGGTTTAAACGCAAAACAATGCTGCTGCTATTATAACGGTTTAGTACTGAACCAACTTGGAAGACTGTACAATTTTTCCTGCTGAAGCCAAACTCCCTTGGTGAAATGGTAAAAACTGTTTAGATTAATGTGCTTTGAACAAATTCCTTGATACTTTGTAAATCTACCCATAATAAATCTTAATGACACACTCATGCCAGGTCCTGTAGTTTCTCAAAATACGTCACCCACCATCTCCCAAAGTAACTCAGGCCATGAATGATATTTAATACCTGAAAGCGGTGCTCTGAAAGGCCATTGAAGGCAAAAAGCAGGCAGTGTGCTCATAGAGAGGAGGCAGACAGAGGAAAGCAGAAAAAAAGAGAAGGAGAGAGAGAGGAGAAGAAAGGCAAAGTGAGGAGTACGAAACAGAAGGTGGGATTGGCTGTGACCGCCCTCCCGTCATGAGCCCATTCCCTTGGAAGGTGAAACCAGATCCAAACACAAAACCCCTTCTGTCTCCTCGGGCCTGGTAATCCCTGGAGATCACAACACAAACAAACCAGCCAGCCAGCCTCCAGGTAACCTCCCTGCCTTTCACACTTTGGGACTCACGGGCCTTAACGTACGCAAACACACCACAGATATTAGATACCCTGCGCAAAAACACATCTGATCTACAACCGTCCTCAACGGCCCCCTTCACACCCCCACAATTGTGCCGTGGAACTGCCTTGGCTATACACTGACCAGCTCCAGAGCCCCAGGCCTGTACACACAGATGCACCCACATGTACAGAGTTCACTCCAAGCATACTAATCCTCATGCACCCTGCATAAATAACACTCTAAACATCTTCTTCCCATCACCCCAAAGGCACCGCACTGCAGGAAGGACTGCTGTATTACATTATGCATTCCTTGTTTTGATATCTTGCAGTTAAACTGCTATTAATCTCTTTCTGGTATGACCAATACATTTGGTATAGATCTCTGTTACACCAAATTCTCAGGGTGCCCTTCACGACCCCATTTATACAATAACAGTCACACATCCTCACACACTTTATCTGCACATTAACAGTCCACTTGACAGCCAAGGGGAAGTATTCAGGCAGCTCTCTGAAGGTCAGAGCTGGGATCAGTTCCCTCTGCTGATCAGCTCTGTGTGCCCTCAGGAGCCTATCTACACCTCTGTGGCAAGGAGTCCCGATTATTATTATTGGCAACTGACAGGAAATTGGCACTGATGGGAAAGCTGAAAGAAGGGAGAGCAGTTTTGTCTCCGTTCTTGCTGCTGCACTATAACACACAAAACACTTCTCTTGCTTGAGTACTGATGATGAGACCCCGTTTGAAGACAAAGCTTTGGTTGCCCTGGGACCGACCACTAGCGCTCTAACCCTGGTGGGCAGTGGGCGGGCTGGGGAAAGGATATCTGCCGTCCATGCTTGTCAGCTAGTCTCCGGTGAGGGGAGTTGAGGCGGCTGCGCTCTCTGTGGACCCTCTCCACCAGGCCGTGGTGTCGGGTCCCTCGCACGCTGTCCAGACCGGAGGGGAAGCCGCCCTGCGGGGAGACATGTGCAGCACAGACTGCGATCACTCGCATTTCCGAAACGCACAAACCTCCACACAACCCTTCAGGGATAAAGTTTGTGTCCAATTCAAAAGGTGAAAAAAAAAAGTGTCCCAGTCCCAACAGAAATATTTGGGTGTTTCCAGTCTGGTTTTCCAAAATTTCCAAGAAAACATGGAAATGTGTTGCCTGTTGTGTGATCTGTGGATGGATTTTCCATAAGTGAAGGTGGAGAAGTAAACCTTTTTTCCGTTTCTGTGCTGTTAAGGAATTTGGAACTTAATGCAATATGCACTTAGCATTTAAACAAATCATTGTGGATTGTGAGGCTGAGCTCCTATTCCTTAATTGTCTCTCTCATATTCACCTAAACTCTGCACACAGACCTTACATCCTTCTTATGTAGTCACATGCCATAAGATAAATTAATAATGTAAATTAACAATGGGCTGACAGGCTATTTAAGAATATGCAACCAAGTTTAGAATGACATAGTAAGATCACTTTAAAATACTAACATTAAAGACAACATTATCTGGGGTCCTGGCATTGGCATCTTGATTCTCCATGCTTCAGACTAACATGGAATGAAGCCAGTTCTTTGTTCACTTCATATACACTGTAACTTCATTTTCAAACTTGATTAGAATACTGTACTTTCTATATAAAATGTGAAGCTCGTCTGCCCTACCTGTAATGTATCCTTCCTTACCTTTGCATACTGAAACGAGCTGGTGCTAGCTCACAAAAAATGAAGACTAAAATCACAACGCCACAATTAGTAAAAATGTCAGGTACCATTTTGAGTTAATGGCGCTCTTTTTGTCCCTATTACAAATGAGAGTCTACTAGCCAGTAACTGAATCCTTCTGACCAGGAATTCAGACAGTCAGTTCATTAGACTATAGTCCTTCCAGGTTTCTGTACCAAAACTGAACTTAGTTTGCCCCTGTATAACATATTATTACTCACACTTACTAAGGAATGTTGGCTCCTAGATGAAAACTTCTTGACTCAGCAGTAAATTACAAAAATACTGTTACTTCTTTGGCATCACTAGTGCTTTTTGTGAAATCAGCTTTACTAGTGAGGTGCACATGTTCTGCGCTATATCATAATGTTGTCTGACATACTTCAATGGAGTTGAAATCAAGCCACAAACTGTCTGGTCTGTCTTTCGGAATGGCACAGACTTATCAACTGCTGGACTGATGACAAGACTCAATAATTAATTCGTTACTAGGGAATGCCCCTCCTCAGTACATTCAGCATTATGAATTAATTGACAGAATCAATTAATCCTGGAAACAAAAGGAATTCTTATATTTTCTTGGGCCATCTGGCTTTTCCAAGAAAAGGATTTTCAGTGCCTTAAGTTGACATGGGAGTTAGAAAAATCTTGAGAGAAAAATCATTTGGACATTCGCTGAGTACTCAATTTTCAAACTCGAGGAAAAATAAGCAAAATGGGAAATGGGCCACCTTCTACAATTACAATAGTAATAATATTCCACAGCGATATGAAAAGAAGACAAAGAGCAAGATAAAAATGAGTTCACTGCTTTACAATAATCATCCAAAAGAGACAGCTTGGCACATTTCTTCCAAAGGACACCAGTTAAATACCATAGTGATGCAGCACTGGAATCTACTTGCACCCACTCCAATTCCAGAAGCAGGCTTTAAATCCAGTGTATTGTGTATATTGTATTATGTATTTGCCTTAGTAAGTGTATCTGCACTTTGCACTATGTGTATCCTGTCTACAATGTCAGTGTCCTGTCTGTATTTGCACCGTGGACCAGGAGGAACAATATTTTGCCCCACTGTATACTTGTACATGGCTGGAATGACAAATAAAATGTGAACTTGATCTTGAACTTTACCAGGAGTCTCATTAGTCAGGTCTTTTATCCCTGGCTGCTCCTGCTCTTCAGGCAAAGCTTTTGAACTCTAATTCACAGAACCAACAGCAGCTTCTTCCTACATAGTTAAACAGATCATAGCAGGGATGTGACACACTTAAACTTGTAATCCTTGATTGATTCCGAATTACAGGTCCTCGTTTTCAAGGTGTTTTAATTACATACAGTCGGGCACCGAGTACAATTTCTCCTGATCCTAAAAACACTGCTCAGCTTACGCAGAACCGAGACCTATTATCGCAGAGACAAGTAAGGCTCTAATGAGCCTACCCTTTGGCTACACACAGTCATATCATTTGTGATTATTGTGAGTGTGGTGGAGGGGGAGACAGGTCAAGGATTAGAGCAGAGATGGGTTTCAACAGCAGTGCCGCAAGGGCTGCTCACCTGGAAGTCAGCATTGGCATTGCCGATCTGGTTGACGTTGGGCAGGGAGCCGCCGTAGTACTGCACCCGGCTCTGCGACAAGCGCAGCTGCTGGATCTTCTGGAACTGCACCTTTCCCAAGGAAAACAGAGTTGTCAGGACCTGGGACACAATCTGAGCAGCGGGAGGGCAGGAACAGGTAAGGCACTGTAGACAGATGAAAGACAAGACAGCACCACCCACCCTGTATTTTATAGCCTGGCTGTCTTCTAAATATTTTTTAATTATTTCATTGATTTCCAGCATCAGGGTCAACTAAGAAATTAAGCTTGCTTTGTCTTGGTAGTGGTAGTGGGCTTGTGGCCGAAGATTTTACTGTGCCTTTTTACATCAGTGGTGAAGGATTCATAAAATCATTTTTAGAGACTCCTTTATAACACATGACTCCAGTTTTGAGATAGACACAAAGCAGCACTTGAAACGGCTCTAGTACTTGTCATTTAGAGCAAAAGAAGTTTCTCCTGTTTTACTATAGCCTGAGAAGCTACGGGATAAATAAGCGCTGTTTTTCTTCTTCCTGAATGTAAGGTAAACAGTCTCAATTATCAATTCTGATCAGGGATAGGCAAATTCTGGAGTCAATTCTTCTTCATACTAACCAAAGGGCAGAATTTGAATCTCAAAGACCGACCTCATTCTATTTTCTCAATGTGTTTATTCACACTGCGGCCCAGCAACCTAACCAGCCGAGCTGCTGAACACACTGTGGCCTGGAACCCTAACCAGCCGAGCTTGCTGAACACACTGCCGCCCGGCACCCTAACCAGCCGAGCTGCTTAACACACTGAACACACTGCCGCCCGGCACCCTAACCAGCCGAGCTGCT